TCCTTTGCTCACTAGTGTGCCTCTTTGGACATGCGATGCCACCTTTCCAAGCCTCAGTTTCCTCCTCTGTAAAATGGGGACTATACTCGCACCCGACTCATGGGGCTGCTCTGGGAATTATGTAAGACCATTGACCTAAAGTGGTTCTTATGCTCAATAAGCAGTGGCTGTTCAGAAAACAAAACACAAGAAAAAAAGAAAAACAGTTGTGGTGGTTGTTCCTTTCTCTGAGGTAAATGTGATCTGCAGTCCCCATCCCGCCAGTGAGAAAACTGAGCGTTAGAGAAAGCAAACAAATCGGTGGTCAGTCCGTGCTAGTCATCTTGTTGGACGTGTGTGGTGTGTGTGCCGAAGTGATGCATGACGCGGCGGACGTCTGTGGAAGGTGGCGGTGCGGCCCGGGAAGAAGCAGAAGCCCCCAAACATGTCTTCAGAACAGGAGTGGGTCAGTGAAGTGGAAATCTTCAGCCGGACGGAGCAGGGGTGGCTGATGGAGGCCCCGGTAGGAGGGGACCTGGGTTGATGTCTGGGAGCTGGCATTGAGATCACCCCAACCTCTTTTCACCCCATGGAAGGTTCACCCCAAGTTGCCTAAGGGAAGAGGCTCAGAAGGTAGGAGAGGCTAGATGGTGAAGGACCCCGAGTGGACACCGTGCTGTGGGCAGTGGGGAGCCAGGCCGAGTGTGCAGTCGGAGCCGGCCTCACCCTGAGTGTTAGAGCGCTGTGTCCCGCAAGGATGAGACTGCAGGCCAGGCCAAAGGCAGGGGGCTCTGTCCCACTGGGCACCTTGTCTGTGCCAGGGCCTGGGGCCTCGGCACACCCTGGGGGACATGTGGCCGTTGATGCCTCTGTGCCATTCCTGGATTGGGGAGTGAATATTCCCACCAGAGCCCAAGCTCTTAGGGCGGGGAAGGGGCTGGCTGGAGGGGGGTCTTAATGGGGGGTCTTGGGCTGCAGGGGGACCCCACTATAGGCCATCCTGCTGTGGGAAAAGCTGCTTCGACCCAAGAGAGAAGCTGCGGTGGGAGGAAGGCAGAGTGACAAAGGTCCCTTCCTCTGCCCAAGGACACATCCTGGATGTACCAGCCTGCTCACCTTGTGAGAGCTGCAGTAGTCTCATTTTTTTCCCACTGCAGCTTCTTGACACCCCACATGCTTGTGCCCCTGGGGGGGGGGAGGTGTTAGCCTGTGGAGAGCAGCTTCGGCTGTTCCAGGAAGGCCTGGAATACAGTCCCCCCCTCCTTCCCCCCCAGGCCCAGTGACCTGCCACCCAGTGAGCAGGAAAGCAGGAGGGAAAGAATGTTCCTGAGGCAGACGCTAGAGCTCCGCTTGCCCACATTCCAGCTCCGTGGCCCTGGAGAAGCGCCTCAGAGGTCCAGTCTCTGCAGTGAGCTCCAACGGGTGCCCACCTCCAGGACTGGCTAAGGAGGCACCACGTCTACAGGGCTTCCTAGCAGAGCGCCTGGAATAGAGGAAAGCTCAGCAATTGATAGCTTTAAGAATGCCCCTTGCCACCCCTCTGTGGGGCACTCTGCTTGTCTGGGTAGTAAGTGCTGGAGCGGATTTTGGCCTCCATGTTTCCCTCATCCTAGCCACAGTCATTTAGCAAACCTTTGCCGGGCACCTCCTGGGGCCAGAGCTGGAGACCCCAGGATGAGCCGGACAAGCTGCCGTCTGGGGATGATAAGCCATTATAGTATAGTGTCCAGAGACCCTAACCCAGCTGGGAGGGTGGGGGGCAGGAAAAGCTTCCAGAGGAGGCACCTGAGGGCAGGTGTCAGCTGGGCCGAGGGGGCAGGGTGCCCTGGGCAGAGGACCTGACCTGTGCAAAGGCCTGGGGCTCCCCAGAGGTCTTGCCCAGGAAGCCCAGGGGTCTCTCTGCCTTTTCAGAAGGATGGACTCTGTTTATGTGTCAGAGGCCACCCCTGCTACCTCCCTTGGGAAGGATGTGACCACAGAATGTGGCTTGAATGGGTGGAAGCTGGGCAAGATGAATTGTTCCCTCCACATCCTGGGGAAGGGCCACCGGATAGCCCCTGCTGACCCTGGGTCACCCGCGCTGCCTCTGTCCAGTGGGCCAGGGAGAAAATCGTTAATGGGAGGCTGGCTTCTGGGGCAGGGCAGCTCCCCTTGGGGACCTGGGGTAAGGAGATTGGTTTGACCTCTGGTCGATAAGGTCTCCTGTGAGCAGGAGGAGAGTTGGAGGACAGGGAAGGAGGCTGGAGGCCCGCCCCTGGGGGACGGGACAAGGCCAGGCTACCTCAGGAAGTCATTCTGGGGAGGTCGAGGGCCATGGGCGGGGGGTCTTCAGGACACGTGCCCACCAGGTGTGAACCTCATGGGGCACGGAGTTCTTCCCTCCCTGAGCATCGGGTTATGAGAGGAGGTGGGTCCCAGGTGTCAGACCCTGGCTGTGAATTGGTAACAGGGGCTGGCCATCGAGAAGAGCGAGAGGGAAGGGTGCGCGCCCTTGGTGGGCCAGGCGCCAGGCCCCGCACCCCTGGCTGTGTGGCTGGAAGCAACCGACTTAACTTTCCTGAGCCTTGGTTTCTGCATCTGCTGAGTGGAGGTGATAAGCATTCCCATGTTGCAGGGTTGTCTGGAGGGTCCGGGGCAATAGCGTCTTCCCAGACTGAGTGTGTGCCGAGGTGCCCTGTCTGCAGGGATGGGGGTGTGGTCTGCTTGTATTTCCAGAGAGGCTCTGTCTGCAGGTCTTCACTGTGAGCCTCTGAAAGGACCCCCATGTGCTCTCTTAGTTATGCCTCTTGAGTACTCGCTCTGTGCTGGGCACTGTTCTAAGACTTTCTACATTTCATCTGAGGAGCAGCCCTTGGGGTGGATGAGATTGTCATCCCTCTCATTTTCCAGGGAAGCTGAAGTCCAGAGGGGTTGGTAACTTGCCTAGGGCCCTTTAGCGAGGGAAGGGCACACCCTGGGTTCTGACCCTGGGACCTCCTCCTGATTGTGCTGGTGGGGCAAGTGGGGCACAGCAAAATGGGGCTGAAAGAGGGGCTTTGGAGCCAATTCGGGGCTAATTCTGCCATTGCTTGTTCTGGGACCTTGTCAATTTAGCTTTGGGGCCTCAGTTTTCTCATCTGTAATGTGGGATAATATTTCCACCTTGAGGATGATAGTGAAGGATAAATAATGTGGTCCAGCTGGAGTGCCTGTGGGGCCCAGGCTAGCCACAGGGGACATGTGCAGGTCACCTTGGGGACAGAGACCCTGGGCTGGGCGTGGGATGTAGTAATGAGGAGAACACGGTCCCTGCCCTTAAGAGCTCACGATTGAGAGGTGAGACAGATGCTTGGGCAGCCCTGGTCCCAAGAGCTCTGCAACAGGCTGAGTGGGCCGTGCTCTCATGGGAGTGGGGTCCTGCCTGCCCAGCATCATGTTGGACCTTGTGGGCACACAGAACAAACCAAGAACACTGTCTGGGCTTCAAGAATTGTTCAGCTTTATGGTTAGGATGGGATGGGACAGGCATACATTTAGCAGGGCCTAGGAAAACCTAATTTTAGTAAATGGAATGACAGGGCTCCACATCTTTTCAGTGTTCATTTGTTCATTCATTCATGCATTCAACAAATGTTTGAGTTTCTGCTGTGCTACATGCTGGGGATAGAGTAGCAAGCAAGAAGGAGACAGCCCCAGCTTTCATGGTACTGCCAATGTAATGCTGGGGGGAGACAGACAAAAACCAGATAAGTAGATGTTATGTCAGGTTGGTCAATGTTAGAAGGAAAAAACATAGCATGGTAGGTAGAGAGATGGAGAGTGATGGGGTGGGGGCTGCTTCAGAAAAACAGTCAAAGAGGGCCAGTCTCAGGATGTGACACTGAGCAGAAAGCCTAATGAAGCCAAGGAGCCAGAATGTAGAAATCTGGGAAAGAACACTGAAGCCAAGGGAAGAGCAAGTGTGAAGGCCCTGAGGCAGGTGTGTGTTTTGTGTTTGGAATGCTCAGTGGCATAATAAGGCAGCTGGTACAAGTGGAGGTGAGAGAGTAGTAAAAGGATGAAGAGGGGACTCATCCTGAGGACCTTGAGGCCGTGGTAGGGACCTTTGTCTAAATGTGATGGGAAGCCCCGGAGAGTGTGGAGGGGGAGCATTACTCAAGGTGTTTGGGTTTGGTGGAAGCCAGACAACCAGGGGGCAGGAGTGGGAACAGAAGGCTGGTGAGGAGGTGGCTGCAAGTTGTCCAGGTGAGAGGTCATGTTCAGGAAGGGAGACTGGAGAGATACATGTTGCATAGCCAGAGACAGCTTCCTGGAGGATGTGGTCAGATGTGAACTAAACCTCTGGGGAGATAGGGAGTTTTGGTGGGAGATGCAAAATGAAGTCTTCTCCAAGAGACGCCAGGGGTGTGGGTGAATGCCAGGTGAGGGTGCTTGGTCATGGAGAGGAGAGCCCCTGGCATCAACTCCTGGGGCCCAAGGGACAGTGGATTCTGGCCCTTTCCTTCCCAGGGTGACTTGCCAGGCCTCTGTCCTTCCCTGCTGTGCACCCAACCAGCAGTTATATGCCCCTCATCCTTCTCCCATCTTCATATCTACTCTGATCCTTTACTCCCCACGTGCTCACTTTATTCTCATGGCCACCCTGGAACGTAATCAGGGTAGGGGCTCTGCTCGACTGTTTCACCAAGAGGGAGTCTGTGTGCCCAAGGTCACAGGAGAAACCTCCGCTCCGTACTTCTTGCTTTAATTTGGGGCTTTGGTGGAGAGGCAGCGCAAGCTTTATTGTCCAGTAGACCGAGGCCTGCTTCTTAGCTTCGCCGCTTCTTGGCTGAGCCACCTCGGGCAACACGCCTCACCTCTCTGAGCCTCGGTTGCCTCATCTGTGAGATGGGGATGGTGACAGAGCAAGCACGGGTCTGCGCAGGGGCCTGGCCCGGAGCCGGCCCGGAGCGGGGCCCTGGCTCTCCGGTGTGAACGTGGCTCCCACGTGAGGGCACCCAGGACTTCCGAGGTAGATCCCTGATGCCGCTCTCCCTGGCCAGGTGCTGGCGGCCGAGGAGAACGTGGACTTCCGCATCCATGTGGAGAACCAGACGCGGGCTCGGGACGATGTGAGCCGTAAGCAGCTGCGGCTGTACCAGCTCTACAGCCGGACCAGCGGGAAGCACATCCAGGTCCTGGGCCGCAGGATCAGTGCCCGCGGCGAGGACGGGGACAAGTATGGTAGGTGCCAGCCCCCTCCTCCCTCACCGTGCGCCTCCCAGCCCTCGGGTTCCCATCCCAGGTCTGCCCTGCCCTGGCTGTGTAACCTCGCTCCTGGCACAGCCTCCCTGGCCCTCCCACCCCTCCTCTGCAAACTGCAGGGGCAGTCGTGTCTCCTGGAGAGCCTTGGGGGGAGTGCTCAGCGCTTTGCCGGGAAAGGTCGTGGGTATCCGTGGCTTCCCTGGGCACGGCCTAAAGCCAGGAGCTGCTCCCCACAGCATTGCTTCACCAGCCCCGGGTGCAGGTGCTCAGAGAGGTGGGAGCCTCCAGGGAGTGCTTTCTGGATGCTGCCGGCCGTGCGGAAATCGGCCTGGTGTGAGTGTGGGTGCACATGGGCACACATGGGTGTGAGCACGGGTATGTGCTCTGCGAGCTTGGGCTTGTACACCTGTGAGGAATAGTGCTCGTAGCACTTGGGCTATCGGCCCTTTGGCCTGCCCTTGACCCTGAAACCGCCCAGCCCTCCTCTGGGGTGTTTGGGAACCATCCCTCACCTCATGCTGCCTCTGCGAGGGGGCTGGGAGGAATGAGACACCCTGCCCCCCTGCCCACCCCACCCCCCAGCTCACACAGACCCTCAGCAGTGAGAGAAACAGACAGGACTCCACTTGCCCGGAGCCTCGAGAGGATTTTGGGGACCGGTGCTGAGCAAATACTGACCCTGCCCCACGGGTTCTTACCTTCTTTTTTTTTTTTTTTTTAAGATTTTTAAAATTTATTTATTCGAGAAAGAGAGCGAGAATGAGCAGGGGAGAGGCAGACTCCCCGTCGAGCAGGGAGCCCGATGCGGGGCTCGATCCCAGGACTCCAGGATCATGACCTGAGCCGAAGGCAGACACTTAACCGACTGAGCCACCCAGGCGGCCCTGGTCCTTGCCTTCTTAAGCCAGGTTCTGGGAGATGTCCCAGCCCCCCACACCCCCCTTCTCCGGCCTTGGGCAGGGGAGCTGGGGCTGCGGGTGACCAAGGCGTGGGGCTGGGGCTGGGGCTGGGGCCCGGGTGTGTACTGTGGGCCTGCCAGTCTGGGCTGTTCTGGGATGATGCCCTGCTTGCCCGCCGGCCCCTGCTCGTTGCAGTCAAGACATGACAAGAAGACAAATAATTTCTTGGACCTTTTATCTTGGACCCCATTCATTTTCCCTCCGCCCCGGGGCAGGACTGACCTCATGGTAGGGCCCAAGTGTGGCAGCTGCGCCGTCACTGGGGGCTGGGGCGGGCCAGGCCGGGCAGGGCTGCGCCGGGCTGGGCTCCCCGACTCCAGGCCAGCTGCCTCCCTTCTCCCTGTGCCATCACTCTTTAGGGCCTCCATTCCCCTCCCTCCCTCCCTCTTTCCCCTTCTTCCCCTCTCAGTCTTGCTACTGCTGCTTTTCTCCCGACCCCTCTCTCTCAGTCCTTCTCCCCTCCTTCCCGGTGCTCACCCCTTCCCCTCTGTGTCTGTCCATCCCTCTCTCTGTCTCCCCCTCCCCACCATCTCTGTCCTCCCTGCCTCCCTCCCTCGGATCACAGCTTTCCAGTCCCTCCTCCCCACGTCTCCCAGGTCCTCCGCCTCTGCCTCTCAGGGGGCTTCTGTCTCTCCGGGCCCCCCGCTGTGCTGGGCGGACCCAGGTGGCGCTTTTCCCTGGGATCTGCTGTCCAGTTGCTGCCAGGGAAGGGGCAGCTGGCTGGCCGGGCCGGGAGGGAGGTGCCCTCCTGGGGAGTCCCCGGAGCTCTCGCTGGCCCCTCCAGGCCTGGTCTGAACCATCTGTCCACGCCCTGAGACAGGAGGTAGGAGCTCAGGAGGGAGAGGAGCCCAAAAAAGGCCACCCCCTCGGTTCAGAAGTTACTTGCCTCTCATTTCCTCTGCCTGAGCCAGACAGAGACTCAGGGGATCGCACGTGCTGTGTGACATCAGACAGGCCCTTTGCCTCCTCTGGGCCTCAGTTTCCCATCTGTACAATACAAGGGTTGCATACTAGAGCAGTGCTTCCTAAACATTAACATGCCTGGGAATCACCAAGGGATCTTGTTAAATGCTGATGTTGATTTGGTGGGTCTGGGGTGGGGCCTGAGCTCCGCATTTCTAACGCGCGCCCAGATGGTGCGGATAGGCCACACCTCGCGTATCCAGGAACTAGCCCATTTTGGCTTCTCGAGCCCCACAGGCCCCAGATTGAATCCTTCTCTCTCAAGGAATATGTTTATCACTTCTCCAAGCCCCCGCCAGGGCAGCGTGGGGCTTTGCTGGCTGCTGAGGCTGCTTCATTTAAGTGTCGCATTAGAAACGCAGATGAGGCGAAGGGACCCCATCTGTGAGCCCCGGGAGAGGAAGTGAGACAATGGAGCCAATTGAGGCTTCCAATCTAGATAATCAATACAAATATTATTGGGAGGGTGATTTATGTGGCCAAGCCAGCCTGGAGGATGGGGCTGCGGTAGGGGTCTGCCCTGCCTGTGGGGGATGGGCAGCCAGTAGTCCCCAGTCAGGCCAGGCCCCCCCCACCAGACAGTGGACAGTCCCTCCTTCTCGGGACTCTGTGCGGCTGAAAGAATGATGTGGTCTGAGGCTTGCATTCATATGCAGCTATAATGCAGTCTGGGAACCTCAGCAAACACCAAGTATAAACAGGGGCCCCAGAAACACCTGGAATCTGGAATCCCGACAGACACTCGGAATCTCAGATTCAGTGACATCCTGAGGTGTTACACTCAGGGCAGGCACAAGGCACGGGCCCACTTTAGTCTGGGGCTGGCCCAGGAGCTCTTGGCCTGCTTTACATCTTTACATCTGGGAGCAGTCTTTGGTGAGATCTGCATAGATGTAAGTCACACCCCGCAGTTCTGCAAGAGGATCTCCCCAGGGCTCCCCAAAGCTTTCCCCCCAAGCACCCTAAGGTGCCTGAAGGTGGGCCAGGTGCTGGAGGGACAAGCGTGCTAGCCAGGAAGCTGAGGGTTTCTGGAGGGGGATGGCTGACGAGCCGGTTAGGGCCACCCTGCCCACCTAGGATGCTTACATCTGGCCCTCCTGCCCTTGGCCCTGGCCACCTCTGTCGTGTAGGCAGTGGCCCTATTGCAGAAACAGCTCCAGGAGGCAGGACACCTTGTTTTTTGTTGCCGCTTTGCCACTGAGCAGCCCGTGGAGCTTGGGGCAAGCGTGTCTGGCTCTGGGCTTAGTTTCTTCCTCTGCCAAGTGAGGATGAGAAAGGCCCGCTCGACTTGCCTCCGAGATTGATGCGCTTGAGCCCGGGGTGTGGAGGCATTAGGTCCTCCTGGCTGCAAGGGGCCAGGCTGCCAGTGACAGAGGTGGAGTTTTAGAGGAAGAGGCCCGGGGGATGGGGGATGGGGGGTCTGTGGGGGGTGTGCGGGGTGGGACATGAACTGAGTCTGCGCTCAGGGAGTGGGGAGGGACCCTGGCGGTGGAAATGGCAGTGTGGGGGCAACTCTGCCTTTATAAGCAGTGTGACTGGATATTCTTTCCTGTTTTCATTTGAAAAAAGGGTTTTCTACTTCAGAAAAAAAAAAAGATAAGAAAACCCCCAAACCCAATGTTTTGTAGTAGGCCAGCCTCCCAGGACTGTGCCCAGAACAGCCCCCAGGCAGGCCCCTGGAGGGGCTGTGTCAGCCAGGAAGTTGATCTTTTGAGGGGATGAGAATGTAGACTCCGGAATTGGACAAGATTTGAACCCAGCTCCATCACTTGCGGGCTAGAGATCTCGGATCTGAGTTAGCCTTTCTGATCCTCTTTGCTCTTCTGTGAAATGGGGTAATGGAAATGAGAGCATCTCTTATGCTCACAGATTGTATGATTATTAAAGCAAAAAATGTGAATGATAACTACTTGAATCACTGCTGTTGTATGGGTGTGGGGGGTACTCACACGGGCTCTGGTAGAAGTTCCCCTCTCAGGAACTGATTCCTGGGGCTCCCAGAAGGAGCCAGGTCTCTCTTGCATCTGTGGGGCCCTGGTATGTCAGCTGTAGGCCTAAGAGGCTTCTTCGGCATGATTCCAAGCAGCAGGTCGGCCTGCTCTGGCTCCTGTTGGGCCCGAGGAGGCAGGGTCTTTGGACCTTCTTGCTGGGTGTGGTCTGATCTTTTCTCCGTTTGAGCTGGGGTCCCTAACTCGCTGTACAGAATTATTGAGCCCTGGGGATACGGTGGTGAGACATACTTGGTCCCAGCCCTCACACTGCTCCCAGGCCAGAGACCCTGCTCCATCTCAGGGGCTGACTCTGAGTAGGAAGAATCTAGTTCTCTAACTTCCAGTGTGACCTGGGGTCCTTCTCATTCCCTCCCTGAGCCTGGGCTTCCTCACCATTCACTGGGGGGCTGCGTGCGGGGTGTGGAGTTAGCACTCCGCTGGCTTCCTCGAGAGCTCAGGCATGGATTCGTCTGTGTTTCCAGCTGTGGAACTGCTGTGTGGGGTCAGGAGGAGTCAGCCCATCCCAGCATGGGCCTGCACCTTCCTGCTCAGCCTTGCCCTCCTGAGAACATGAGCTCCTTGAAAGTAGTGGCCCTTCTGCATGTCCCCATGCCCAGTACAAGGCTTGGCAGAAAGCAGGTCCGCACCTACGTGTTGCTGGGTGAATGAATAAAATAATTATGGGGCAACTCCAAGCATGATCTGGAACTGACTTGTGTGGCTCACGCAGGAAGGTGTGTGGGGCATTCCAGACCTTTTGCTGAGCAGATGACAAGAGTGAGGGGGAGTCTTCTGGCCCCATTTCCCTCATCCTGGTACCTGTTGGAGGGCTGTGTTTGAATAAGGAGAAAGGGCTGGTGTGGCTGATGCTGCAGAGACCCCCTACTCTCTGAGTCCAATGCCCATAGTCCATATAGCAGTCTAAAATGTGAGACTGTGTCACTTCACTCTCAAAGGCGCTTGTCTCTCTGAGGATTAAATCCCAATTCTTGGATCAGCCCAGAATGGCCTGGCTCTTGATTACCACTCCAGCCTCGCCTCACTGCCTCTTCCTCGCCCACTCAGCTCCAGCCCCACCCACCAGCCAACAGGCCAGGTGTGCTCCTGGCTAAGGGCCTTCTTCGCATTTGCTGTTCCCTCAACCTGCGGATGCTGTTCTCCCAGATATCCTCATGGCTTGCTCCCTCATTTCACTCAGGCTTCTGTTCAATTGTCTCCTTATCAGAGACTTCCTGGCTCTGTCTCCTTGTGGACGTATTTTTCTTCCTAGCATTTATTGCTACTAGGTATTCTATTACATATTTAGCCTTTTGCTCCCTGTCTCCCCTGTTATAATGCAAACTCCTTGAGGGTAGAGGGCTTTTGTCTATTTGGTTCGCTGCTGTATCACCATGCACAGAGCCAGCCACAAACAGGTGCTCGAT